AGAAAAAAAAAGTTGGGAAATTTTTTTTGAATCATTAAAATTGAATCATTAATAATAAAAAGTGATTCATGGATCATCAAAATGATCCATGCTTCAATTTTAATGATCCAAAATTTTTTTTCTAATTTTTTTTTCTCTCCGATATAATACTATGCTCGATTTTATGATTTGTATTTTTTTTCAATATTTTTAAGATGTACTTACGTGTCCTCACCGAAAAAAGAGTCCTCATCCGATTCTCAATCTCTAAAATCTCTCTCTCTCTCTCTCTCTCTCTCTATATATATATATATATAGATATATATATATATATATATCGATATATATATATTATCTATTATATAATATATATATTATATATATGGGGGAGGGCTAATGCGAAAAATGCAAATAATTTGCGAAAACGCGAAAACAAAGAAAAACCTATGAGATTTTGGCCACCTCAACCTTCTATTGGACAATAATCCATCCAAACTTTAAACTACATGATGATAATCGATTACACATGAGAAATTATTCATATTAGCAAAATATGAGGTTTGACATTTTTATTATGAAAACATAAATTTAAAAGTGGTCAAGAACGTGAAAAAAAAAATAGTTGATAAAATCGTCTTTAAATCTATATTATCATAACACAATCCAAATAAACTTATTATCATTAATTTATTGCAATAAATTTAATTTTTATAGTACTTGTGTTTGATTTTTATAAGATAAAATCTGTTTTCGCGTTTTCCTAGGATATTTATGTTTTGCATGAACCTACTTGTATATATTATTATATATATATATATCTATATATATATATATATATATATATATTATATATATATATATATATATACTATATATATTGTATTTATTTATTTATTTATATCACCTCCTTTCCCGATGCCGATGGTAAAAAAGAGTGTATTGACCAAGGAATGGATCTAGATTTTGCTTCGTGCTTAAAATTATCATCAGTTCCGCGTTGGCTGATTATCCTCCACTAATTTTTATGATTTTTATTATAAATTATTTCTTCTACATAATAATAGTTAATTAAAAATAATGTATGAAAAAGCTCTTTTGCCTTAGTCCCAGGATCTTAAAAAATATGCAAACCTTGGCGTCGGTAATAGGTTGATGGCCACCGAAGTGTCTAAGTTCATTTATTTGATATATTTATATTTATATATAAATATTAATAACATAAGGGTAGTAAATTATAATATAATTATTGAAAACTTAAATAACTTATTTACCAACTACTTGTTGGAAAATAATCCCTGAAAACAAACAAGGAAAAAGTCGGTGTAATTATTCAGAAGTATGATATACATGTATTATTGTTTTTTAGATTAAGCAAATATCATATTTTGGGAAATTCACATAAGTTATAAGTTTACAAGGTGTTTTAGATTGTTTATTTAAAGTGTTTTTAAAAAAAAAATGTTTGTTAACTTATATTGTATCAAAATGAAATTTGAAAAAAAAATCGAATTAACTTATTTGTTACCAGAATATAATAAATTAATATATTGTTTTATAGTTCTTGGTAATTATAACTTACAAATATAAAAATGACAAAAATAGACATTGTTATATTATTCTCTTATTTATATATTTACTTTTATATTGAACAACTTTTATGTTTAGAATAATATTTTTGACAATTATCCTCCTCATGTCCCCGTATTAGCTCTACTGGAGGTATTGTCATTGCCTTATTTACCTCCATGAACACCTTTTTTTTAGTATGTGCTACCTTTTTGAATATTTGGAATGCGAGAAATGATAAGGTGGCGTTTGGTTGACTGAATGTTTTTGAAGGAATTTGAATGTGTTAAGGAATTGAAATCTGTCTTGAATTGGAATCCAATTCAATATTCTGTTTGGTTAACAGTAAATGGAATTTGAATCCAATATTCTGTTTGGTTACCAGTAAATGGAATTTGCTTACTTTTACTTTGTTTTAAAATTAGAGGTAAAGATATATTATATAAATTATAAAAATAGTAAACGGTGTTGGTAGCAGAAGCGATAGTGGTGGTGATGGCGGTAATGTATGGTGGTGACGAAGGTGGAGGTGGTGGTAGTAGTGGCATCACTAGTGTTGATGGTAGAGGTAGTGGTGGTTGTGGAGGTGGGTGTTAGTGGTGGATGGTAGAGGTAGTGGTGGTTGTGGAGGTGGGTGTTAGTGGTGGCGGCTGTGGTTTAGGAATCCAATTCCTTCTCAAAACTTGAAACAAATATAGAAAAGTGATGGAATTAAATTCCAATTCCCATTTGAAGGAATTTGAATTTCTTTATCTTTTAGATGAAATTTATTTTCCCTCAATGGAAGTAAAGTTGGACATATTTAGGAATCCAATTCCTTCTCAAAACTTGAAACAAACATAGGAAAGTGATGGAATTAAATTCCAATTCCTTTCGATTCCAACAGATTCCAACGAACCAAACGACCCCTAGGATTTTCAAAAAGATTGGCGTCTCCCCTGCTAGAACCGTGGATAAGATCATGACTCAAGGATATGAATGGTTTAAGTACATGGTAAATGGAATGGAAAGCACGGCGGAATGGAGTTGCTCTTTTTTTTTTTAAATATATACCTCAATGAAATCTGTAACTTTGTTTTTTTATGTTTCCTTTATGTTCTCCAATCATAGTAGCTTGTTATTGTTTGGGTTTTTATTTTATATAAATCTTATTCACTGTTTTAAAAAAAAAACTACCTTTTAAATATGTGCCTTCTCCGAGTTGGAAACCCGTTCTACCACGAATTTGACAATATAATTAAATATGAATGGGTCATATTTCATTAATGAGTCTCTATAATCATGAATTGTAACTCCTAATTTCCATAAATGATAAATATTTTACTTTTTGTAATTACCAAAAATTAATTAAAAGTATCGCTTAACATTATTTTCTTTAATTTTTTTTTATTTTTTTTATTAATCGAATATCAAATAGATTGAAGCAAATTCCATTCCATTGGAATATTTGTATAAACATATTTATAATCATATACAAATACATTTGAATCGAAACGAATAAAACAGAGTTTTGAGATAAAGAAATTTAATACAATTATAATTATAATTGAATAAAGAACATTGTATATACAACTAGAGTTAAGTTTTATTCATAAATGAATAACATATAAAATAAAAATAATTACACAGTAGTAATTGTAATTGGGTCGAGTGGAATACCTCCCATTTTTGCTTTTTGTAAAGTTTGTTTTGTTGTAGTTGTTGTCGTTTGCTTCTTGCTTTCGACCATCCTTCTAATAAAATTGTCTTTTTTTAATTTTTTTTTACAAAGTAGTAATTAGCTAATTTCTTATAATCGCAAATGATTACTACACAAACAAAAATTTGAATGTAATAAATTTACTATTATACTATAAATGTAAGTAATTAAGTCATGGTCTTTTCCATTCTAGTGTTTGATTCTAATACTAACAATAATTAGTGTAGTTGTTTTGTGCTTGCCAACCCATTTCCAAATCTATGTGGTATCACCTGATAAAGGTCGTCGGCCATGGGATGACTAACAAATGCATGTACACCTCTTTAAATGTAAGCTGAAATTTGTAAAACAAGTGTTAAAATATATTAAAGAACCATATTGAAACATCCCAAAAATACAGTCCAAAAAAATATCGTTTTTAATTATTAAGAAAAACCATAATCATTGAACATCATATAAAAATCATAAGTCATGTATCTCAAAATATCATAAACATCTGTCAAAACATATCATAGTATAAACATCCCAGGCTAAATAAATGGTGTGTGCACTGCAATCATCCCGAGCTCTTCCCTTTGCTACCGGAAGTACCTGAAACCAAAACTGAAAACTGTAAGCACGAAGCTTAGTGAATCTCCCCAAACTACCATATACCATACACATAAGCACATAATAACATACATTGGGCCTTTCCCACTACATCGGGGCCCGCCCGGCATCGGACCGAAATCCGGCATCGGGCCCCGCCTGGCATCGGACTGAAGTCCGACATCGAGCCCCACCCGACATCAGACCCAAGTTCAGAATACATATAAACATATAAACAAAACATATAACATAAACACATAACATAAACATGTAAACATTCCTCGGGCTTGCCCCGACATCGGACCGAAGTCCGGAACATGTAAACATAACATATAAGCTAAACATTCCTCGGGCTTGCCCCGACATCGGACCAAAGCCCGACACATATAAATGAACACATGCAAGAATCACGAAGACATCAAGCATACAAATATTCCTCGAGCATTCCCCAACATCGGACCGAAGTCCGGAAACATATAACCTACATCAGGCTAACCCCGACATCGGACCTAAGTCCGACATACACTAATATACATAAATGGGCCGACATTGGTGCCTTCAACCCGTTCCTACTGGAGGGAAAACTCACCTCGTAAATCTGAGTGCTGAATCTCACGGTAAGAAATCTCTATCGGTTGCTCCTGCGACTCCCCGACTATCATTAACAATAACACTTAGTCAAAATCCAATAATCCTTCTTAGGGTAAAATGATCATTTTACCCCCCCCCCCCCCCCGGATCTAATTTGGACCATAATCTAGGCTCAATTCCATCTAATCCTTCCAAACCCACTAATGGCCCATCAAAGGCCCACTAATGGCCCAACTTTCTAAATTGGGCCCAACTTCTCAAATGGGCATTCCCTTAAGCCCAAACATATTCCTGGTCCATTATCTGACTTCTGATGGCCCATTAAGGACCAATAACTGCTAAGTCCAAAGATTGGCCCAAATGTCACAAAGCCCAAATCTTGAGAGTACGCTGGGCGTACTCCTCTATACGCTAAGCGTACTGCTGCATAGCTTGTACACTGCGCGTATTTGCTTATACTATCAAGGAGTGGGTCCGCGGAATTCGCGAATAACTTTAGGGTTCGAGATTTGACAGTCGATCTCCCCCCGGTATCCATTAAAAAGCGTTATTAAACACTTTCCACCCCTACGGGTTGATGGTTGTTGCTCACCGTTATTCGGTGCGTGATTTCCGTTTGCTTTGTAGGCTGGGTGGAGCTGGATATCGTGTTCTTGCAAGGCTAGACCATAGGCGCCCGAGGCGGTATTCCCATCTTGTGGTTATGGGGCTAAAATTGTTCTCTCCTTCTTACCCGCTTGATTTCTGGTTGGGTAAGGGACGACCACTCAGTCCAGAAGCTCATGGGCGTTTGGTGAGACTCCTTCGAGCCAAACTTAAGCCCCGGGAGCTGATATTGCCCCCCCGATGAGCTGTTCGAGACTGAGGAATCTAGATATTTCCTGGAGTACTCTCTCCTTTATGGATGGATGCGCCAGTGGTTAAACTACCTTAAATGGTATCACCTTACCGCACTTTCCCCTTGGGTTACCCTCGAGGAACTGTTTAGCGGTCCGGTTGTCTCGCACTCCTGGAGGATGGTCGCGGTGGACGAAGACCTCGTTCGCTTCTCTCTGGAAGTTGTTTATAGAAGTGCGCTTTTCAAGTTCATTAATCAGGCTGTGAAGTGAAGTGCATAAGGGTATAACAACTCTTGTTATAATGTCCAGTGGAAAAGCAAGGAAAGGATTTCGAATGGGTGAAGAGCTAAGTTGGTATGGAAGAACAACTGTGATGCCTCGTCGCTTTTAGTAGCTTATTTTCGTAAGCTCCTCTCTCCGGTCGTCCTCCTTCACCGCTATGATCCCTTTATTCTCTCGTATATAAGGATTCGGCTTGCTTCCTCAATTGGTTATTGGCTGGACATTGAATGGCATTGACCGACTCTTGTCAATAGCAATAGGTTGTTTGGCAGCAAGCGACGAAAGATATGGCTTCTGGTTGTTTGTTGTGCCCGATAATATTAAGAGTTTCCGCGAATCCACACTAGCTAACTTTACACAGAAGGACTGCTTATTAGATTCCGGAATCTCCTATAACCATATTTTCCCCATCCCTGATGATTAAATGGATAGTTTAGCTAATTGATGTGCCACCCTCTTACCATTCTTATGAGTATCCGCATTCAATTAGAAACTTAAAAAGAATAAATTCTAGCTTGAATATCATCCACAATGTGTCCAATGCTAGGCTCGGGTCTTGTTGGAGCACGGCTCCCACATTGCACTGCCTGTCTCCACATCTATTCGGTAAAAGAAAGCTTCCAATGCTAGCTTCATTCCATAGTAGACAGCCCAGGCTTAGACAACTCCAACATCCGTGGCGTGGAAATGACTCTTTGACATAGCTGAAAAGATGGTGCCAATTCAGTCCCTTAGTCCTACACCTAATCCAGATGCCTTAACCTCCTTTCAAAGAGCTCTATCACAATTGACTTTAAAGCAGTCATTCGAGGCAAAAGGGAAAGGAAGCTCAAACTATCTTCCCCCGAAAAGGAAATTTACTTCCTGAACGACAAGTGGCACCGCAGGCGAAGAGATAGCGTTCAATGAATCAGATAATTTCTTTTCATTAAATAACCTAAAAAATTTTTATATAGGTTGTCACGAGTCTAGTTGAGTCAAGATGCGTGTCGAGATGAGTTGAGTAAACCTTGTTCCAGTTCCTTCTGTCTTAGTTGCTTGTGTGCTTTACTCTATCTTAATGCTCGGATCACGAATTTCTCTTATCGATAATGAGTTATTCGCCTTCAGAAGTAAGGTCGGGTAGGAACGATAAGTGGGTGGGGTCATTGAGTTAGCCCAAGGGGGGAGCCATCCTCTCTACGCCCAGCGTACTACCCTGTTAAGCCATCAACCTCAAAAATGCTTATTCCATTAAGACTTTAAGCCCATATTACAAATCTGAGTCCCTTAGCATGTCTTAACTCATAAAGTCGACTACTTGGTGGCTTGCAACCCACCAAATGAACCCAAACTTGGAATATAGCAACTAACTTCCATGGAAATGGCTAGATCTCATGCATGGTCACAAATGGACCTTAAAGATTGAAACTTTACCGCTTATGGGACTCATATGTCACTAAGGGTGGCAACCCTAGACCTAGAAACGAGTTTGAGTCATAAAGATCCATTCTTGGGACTAAGAAGATCCCAAAACATCTTTACACTAGATCTAAGCATACATGAGGAAAGTTGAAAATTTTATACCTCCAATGAGTGCCAAATGGTGAGGTAATCTCAGATCCTTGAGCTCAAGATACTCAAGTTCTTCTTCTCCAACTTCTCTTCTTTTCTTCCAAGCTCTAAATCGCCAAAGTAAGCTTCACAAGGCCAAAAACACACAAGGATGAAGTATGAAAGGGCTTTTAGTGTTTTCTGAGGTTGAGAGGCTGGTAAGGAGGCTAGGGTTTGAGTCATAATGTTGTATTTATATGGCTTAAACCCTAAAAATTAGGGTTTGGAATCTGCTCACGTACGATGCGCGTACTCCTTGGTACGTTGCGCGTACGTGCATGCGCCTCCCGAATCCAAAGCTCCTCTATGCCCCACGTACGCCAAGCTTACGCCCAACATATGTCTTTTGGGCAGCCCAACTACACGGCCCACTTACTAAAGAATGGAAGAGCACTCCTACTTACTTTTGGGATAAATCCTAGACACCTTTGACACCTGATTCCAACTCAATAATCCACTTATCTAATTCATAGCCCAACAACAAATAATAAATGGCTAATGTCATAAAAACCCTCAAGTTTTTAGGGTTTTGTCGGTTTTGCCCAAAGTTGAATTTTATGTCCGTTTTTACCCTAACATTTTTCAAAAAATGTTCGGTTTTACCCTTTTACCGGTGATAACAGGTTACCATCATGTTAACTTCGCAAAAAACCCTTAAGTTTACAGTTTTTTTTTACGTTTTTAACCTTATGTTTATAATTTTTTTTACACTTTTACCCTATTTATTTAATGATTAAATTATTCCTAATTTCCTATTGGTGCATTCATGCACACAATAGTTGATAGAAACATTTGAACCTAACTCATATATATATATATATATATATAACATTAAAAAAATACAATATTTAATTAAATATTTTTTCGTATATAAATACGAATTTTCTACATGAATACGTATATTATTAAAAAAAATACTTAGGGTAAAAGTGTAAAAAAAATTATAAACTTAAGGGTAAAAACGCAAACAAATGGTAAACTTAAGGGTTTTTTTTTTTGCGAATTTAATATAATGGTAACCTGGAAAACCTGTTATCACCGGTAAAAGAGTAAAACCAAACATTTTTTCGAAAATGTTAGGGTAAAAACGGACATAAAATTCTACTTTGGGCAAAACCGACAAAACCTTGAAAACTTGAGGGTTTTTATGACATTAACCCAATAATAAATATTTAAAATAAATAATACCTCAAGTGACGGATGTTACACATATAGTATGTGTACAATTGTAAGTTTATGTAAAATCACAATTTTTACTATGTCAAAACAAATCAACCAATATGCTAAAAATCATATTACATATCTTATAAAGAAGAAATATAATGATATATAAAGTTTGACACTAATCAAACTTCATGAAAATTCTTAAAGTCGAAGGAAAATCATGTCTGAAATAGATAATATACTCTTTATTTGTTTTTGGGTTGATCTTGTTGGCATTTTTTGAAACAAGGAATTGATTAACTCTTCAAAAGAAAATCATGCTCATACAAGATCAAGCCATCATAAGTTGTTTTGGGACTGATCCTAACAATCATATCATTTATCGTTGTTGTTATATTTCTTTCATTCTTTGACTATAAAGGAATGATTAATCATTAATGTTACTTGCTAATTTTCTCTTATTTTTTTCTTTCTCTCCTTTTCATTATAAGATGCACAAGGTTTTGAAAACCGGACCGAACATCGAACCGTTTATCCTACTGGTTCGATGGTTCAATTGGTTCGACCGGTCCTAAAAACCGGAGAAAAACGTGTGTATATATATATATATATATATATATATATATATATATATATATATATATATATATGCGCTGTCTTGTGTGTATATGTTTATATGTATGTATATTAAATAAAGATAGTGTGTGTATTTTACATTATGTAGTTGTGTAATATATTCTGAATAATATAGTCTAAATAATTAAATATATGTAATATGTATGTGCAGTGTAAAAATAAATAATGTAAATATGTATGGTTATTGTAAAAAAGGCAGTAGTAAAGGAATATGGAAAAATAAATAATGTAAATATGTATGGTTATTGTAAAAAAGGCAGTCGTAAAGGAATATGGAAAAATTATAGTACTTACAAAAAATTTAATCGAAACCAAAAAAAATATATATATTCATGTGTTATAATTGGGTTAATGTCATAAAAACCCTCAAGTTTTCAAGGTTTTGTCGGTTTTGCCCAAAGTTGAATTTTATGTCCGTTTTTACCCTAACATTTTCGAAAAAATGTTCGGTTTTACCATTTTACCGGTGATAACAGTTTTCCAGGTTACCATTATATTAAATTTGCAAAAAAACCATTAAGTTTACCATTTTTTTTTTTGCGTTTTTACCCTTGAGCTTATAATTTTTTTTACACTTTTACCCTAAGTATTGTTTTTAATAATATACGTATTCATGTAGAAAAATCGTATTTATATACGAATATATATATATATATATATATATATATATATATATATATATATATATATATATATATATAAAAGTTAGGTTCAAATGTTTCTAACAACTATTGTGTGCATGAATGCACCAGTAAGAATTTAGGAATAATTTAATCATTAAATAAATAGGGTAAAAGTGTAAAAAAAATAATAAACTTAAGGGTAAAAACGTAAAAAAACTGTAAACTTAAGGGTTTTTTGCGAAGTTAATATGATGGTAACCTGTTATCACCGGTAAAATGGTAAAACCGAACATTTTTTGAAAAATGTTAGGGTAAAAACGGACATAAAATTCAACTTTGGGCAAAACTGACAAAACCCTGAAAACTTGAGGGTTTTATGACATTAGCCCGTTATAATTATATAAGATTGGGATGGTTTTTTTCACTTGTATTTTGATCCCACATCGGTGGGATTGAAGAAAATAGGATGACTTGTAGCTTAATAAAAAGGTGGGGGTTCAGTAACTTTATCCCACATCGATGGTACATAAGAAAGATAAAGCTTGATGTCTCTTATAAAGAGGGAACCCATGCGCTTCTTTTTGAAGTAATGATTTTCAATAAACCGGTTTGTTAAGGTGGTTGAACCAGGCCGGTTTAACCCCGGTTTACAAAAAACCGGCGGTTTTTTACGGTTTAATATACCAGCGGTTTTTGGAGTCGAAAAAACTGGTAATCAATCCGGTTCCCGGTTGAACCAGTCGAACCGGCCGGTCCGGCCCGGTTTTAAAAAACAGTGTTATTGAAGTTGAAGAATGTTGCATTATTAACAATTTAAAGGAGACCAAGAATCACATAACAAAAATATGACAAGTACCTAAATATATAATCTCCAACCCTTTAAATAGTCTTCAATACATTGCCTCAACAGTGCATGGAACAAACAAAAAATTACGAGTCACGAAGATAAAGATGGTGTGTGCATGCTAATCG